CTACTACTACTACTACTACTACTACTACTACTACTACTACTACTACTACTACTAAAAAGCTGGGCGTGGTGGTGCATGCCTGTAATCCCAGCTACTTGGGAGGCCGAGGCAGGAAAATCGCTTGAACCTGAGAGGCAGAGGCTGCAGTGAGCTGAGACCGCAATATTGCTCTCCAGCCTGGGCGACAAGAATGAAGCTCTGTCTCAAAAAGAAAGAAAGGGCTGGCTGCAGTGGCTCACGCCTGTAATCCCAGCACTTTGGGAGGCCAAGGCAGGTGGATCACGAGAACAGGAGATCGAGACCATCCTGGCTAACACGGTGAAAACCTGTCTCTACTAAAAATATAAAAAATTAGCCGGGTGGGGTGGCGGGCGCCTGTAGTTCCAGCTACTTGGGAGACTGAGGTAGGAGAATGGCGTGAACCCAGGAGGCGGAGCTTGCAGTGAGCTGAGACCTTCATTAGGGCTTTTTTTTCACTTGAGCTACCTCTCATGACTCCGTTTCCAGCTGACCCTGGATGATGGACAGAGTAAGGAGCAACCACTATGCCCTGGCACAATGATGGTTCAGCTGTGTGAGCATTGTCTATATGTGCAGTCAGCTGCTCCCTCGTCCCCTCCTCTTCACCATGTTAGTCCCATTTCTTTCAACGTACTAACTCCTTTATACTTAACAATTATTAAAGAGTTGATTTGTTCTATACCCAGTGACAAATACTCTTCTAAAACTTGAAGTGGCTCCGCGCAGTGGCTCACGCCTGTAATCCCAGCACTTTGGGAGGCTGAGGTGGGTGGATCACCTGAGGTCGGGAGTTCAGACCAGCCTGACCTAACATGGAGAAACCCCGTTTCAAAATACAAAATTAGCTGGGCGTGGTGGCACATGCCTATAATCCCAGCTACTAGGGAGGCTGAGGCAGGAGAATTGCTTGAGCCTGGGAGGCGGAGGTTGTGGTGAGCCGAGATCGTGCCATTGCACTCCAGCCTGGGCAACAAGAGCGAAACTCCGCCTCAAAAAATAAATAAATAAATAAATAAATAAATAAATAAATAAATAAATAAAACTTGAAGTGGACAATGACTGGGATTAATATTTTATGTAGAGTCGGCAATGCACTAGATACAATTTGTGCCTGGATATCTGACTTCATGTCTAAAATCCACCCAGTGACTAATCATGAGTTGCCTCCTTCCATCTTTCCTCTTGTAAAATTCATCTATTTCTGGAATGAATATTAATATTTATTGAATGCTTTTTCTTTTTTTTTTGAGACAGAGTCTCACTCTTTGTCTCCCCAGGCTGGAGTGCAGTGGCAAGATACTGGCTTGCTGCAACCTCCACCTCCCAGGTTCAAGTGACTTGTGCCAGCTTCCCAAGTAGCTGGAATTACAAGAGCACGCCAGCATGCCCGGCTGATTTTTTTTTTTTTTTGTGAGTGTGTATATATATATATACATATATATATATATTTTTAGTAGAAACAGGGTTTTGCCGTGTTGGCCAGACTGGTTTCCCAACTCCTGACTTCAAGTGATTCGCCCTCCTTGTGCTGGAATCCCAAAGTGCTGAGATTATAGGTGAGCCACAGCTCCCGGCCTGAATGCTTAGCTCATGTGAGTTACTTTCACATTCATTAAATCAAATAATCTTTACAACGCATTTTTTTTTTTTTTTTTTTTTTTTTGGTTACAAGAAAGGTAAGCTAACCCGAAAGTAAATGGCAGAGTTACAGGACTTGAACTCCCAGGCCTCCCATGGAATCTTTGTGTTCCTGTGAGCATAAGATTCAGCCCCACACTCTTAGTGTCAATGAATATTTTAGGTAATGGAAAGTAATTCTGGAGCTCAGAGAGAAGATAGGATGGAACTATGATAAAGTGGAAAGACAAAATACAGCTAATTATTTAGCTATCATCTACTTGTATGCTGAGCACTGGGCATGGTTCCTTCCAGCATATTCCCAGAAGAGCTTTGTAAGGAGGATTGTGCTACCCACGTTTTACGGAGGATGAACTTGGGGCTCAGGGAAGTTTGGTAGTTTGCCCAAGGTCCTACAGTCAGTAAGTGGTTGGGGGATGCATTATGCGTAGAGCTAGGTGAGCTCGAGACACTGCTTATTTTCTTCCATTACACCTAGCTCTGTCATGGGAGAGAGAATTTCAGAAAAGGGATACTCAAAATTATGGGGAAACCTGTCTCGTGATATTGCCAAGGGTCAGTCCAGAAAGAAGCCCTGAATACTACTATTCACAAAACTTCATTTGGAAGGACACATTTGTGTGGTGGAGTGGCTGAGGGACACCATGGACCACTAGGATGGCACCAGTTCAGCGTCAGAAAAGCTTTTCCTCATTATTTTTGTGGGCAAAGGATGCATGTAGGCACCCTGTCCCTACTTCCCAGGGTGGCATACAAGAGAATGAGAGTACCAGCAGGTGAATGCTGCAGGGGCCATCCTGGAGTCTGTCTGATATAGCGTCTCTGGAGTGGGTACTTTTTTTTCTTTTTTAAGACAGAGTTTCACTCTGTCACCCAGGCTGAAGTGCAGTGCCATCTCAGCCTCTGCAACTGCTGCCTCCCAGGTGCAAGTGATTCTTTGCCTTGGCCACAATTTTCTTTTGTGCATATATACTTTTTTTTCTTTTTTGGGGGATGGAGTCTCACTCTGTCACACTGGCTGAGTGCAGTGGCATGATTCCAGCTCACTAGAACCTCTGCCTCCTGGGTTTATGATTCTCCTGCCTCAATGTCCCAAGTATTGGGATTAAAGGTGCCCGCCACCATGCCGGCTTATTTATTTATTTATTTATGAGACGAAGTCTCGCTCAGTCACCAGGCTGGAGTACAGCAGCACAATCTCGGCTCACTGCAACCTCTACCTCCTGGGTTCAAGTGATTTTCCTGCCTCAGCCTCCCAAGAAGCTGGAACTACAGGTGTGTGCCACCACACCCAGCTAATGTTTGTATTTTTAGTAGAGACGAGGTTTCACCACGTTGGCCAGTATGGTTCTGATCTCTGACCTCGTGATTCACCCGCCTCAGTCTGCCAAAGTGCTGGGATTACAGGCATGACCACTGCGCCCGATCTAATTTTTGTATTTTTTAGTAGAGATGGGGTTTCACCATGTTGGCCTGGCTGGTCTCAAATTCCTGACTTCAAAATGATCTTCCCACCTTGGTCTCCCAAGTGCTGGGATTACAGGCATGAGCCACCACGCCCAGCCCAGTTTCTTTTACTTTTTGGTAGAGAGGGGGTTTCTCCATGTTAGCCAGGTTGGTCTTGAACTCCTGACCTCAGGTGATCTGCCTGCCTCAGCCACCCGAAGTGCTGGGATTACAGGCATGAGCCACCAGCCGCCAGCCTGGAATGGGCATTTCTATTCCTTTGCTACTACAGGTGAGAGAAATGAGATAAGCAATACCAGTAACTTGCCAAGGTACTTAGGCTATAAAGTTGTAGATAAGGATTCCAAAACCAGGCCTGTCTGATTTGCAGCTTGTAATTAGTGTATTGCTAGGTAGATTGGGAACGTTTGGCCTGGAACAGAAAAGACCTCTGGGTGGGGATCCACGTTGACAGTCTTCTGGGACCTGAACCACTGCATGGAGAGGGTGCAGAACTAAATCCAATAGGTGGGAAATTACTAGGAGTAGACTTTCTTTTTTTTTTTTGAGATGGAATCTCACTCTGTCTCCCAGGCTGAAGTGCAGTGGCACATTTTGGCTCACTGCAACTTCTGCCTCCTGGGTTCAAGAGATTCTCTTGCCTCAGCCCCCTGAGTAGCTGGGATTATAGGCGCCTGCCACCATGCCCGGCTAGTTTTTGCATTTTTAGTAGAGATGGGGTTTCTCCATGTTGGCCAAGCTGGTCTTGAACTCCTGACTGATCCACCTGCCTCGCCTCCCAAAGCGCCAGGGATTACAGATGTTAGCCACCGCTACCAGCCGAGTAGATTTTTTTGAAAAGTTAATACATGATAAGATTTTGCTGGGCATGGTGGTTTATGCCTGTAACCCCAGCACTTTGGGAGGCCAAGGCAGGGAGGGCTTGCTTGGCTTCCAGGAGTTGAGACTAGCTCAAAATGTAGTAAGATCCCATCATTACAAAAAATAATAATACTAATAAAATAGCCAGGTTTGGTGGCGCTATGCTTGTGGTTCCAAATCTTACTCTGGAGGCCAAGGTGAGAGAATTGCTGAGCCTGGAAATCAAGGCTGCAGTGAGCCATGATCACACCACTGCACTGCAGCTTGGGCACCAGAGTGAGACCCTGTCCCAAAAAAAAAAAAAAAAAAAAAAAAAAGGTTATATTTTAATTAATTAAAGAGAAAACTGGCAAGGTATTAAAACCAATTCAAAGGACAATCCAGGCTAGGTGTGGTGGCTCATGCCTGTAATCCCAGCACTTTGGGAGGCCAAGGCAGGTGGATCACTTGAGGTCAGGGGTTCAAGACCAGCCTGGCCAACATGGTGAAATCCTGTCTCTACTAAAAATACAAAATCAGCCAGGCATGGTGGCATGCACTTGTAATCGCAGTTACTCTGGGAGGCTGAGGCAGGAGAATCACTTGAACCTGGGAGGCAGAGGTTGCATTGAGCCGAGATCGTGCCACCGCAGAGTGAGACTGTGTCTCAAAAACAAATGAAAAGAAAAAACAAAACAGAAACAAAGGACAATCCAGGCCAGGTGCGGTGACTCATGCCTGTAA